TTTTTCCACTGTCTCGGGAAAAATGCTCTTCATTTCCTTAGTAGGCCTATTTTCTTCTTGACCTTAAATACTAGAAATCCTCTTGAAAATTCTCTTTGTACCTAAAGCATAGATCCTGTATCCCATGTAGTAATTTTTTTGAGTGTGAGGTTTACGAATTATTTATAATGTAAAATTCAAGAAGGTATTTAGTTTTTATATTCTTAAGGGAAAAAACTAAAAGAAAATATAAGATGTGTTTCTGTTTTGGAACCCTTTCGATTGGTAAGGGAAATTTAATACCAAGTTTGTGGTTTTTAAGAACTGAAGTCTTCTGAATTGAGAATAGGGAAAGCAGTAGCTGTCAAGATTCCCATAATATGCATGATTCTTATTTGGAATTATTTGCTTTTGGTTAGTCGTGTGGGAAAACATTTTTTTCCTGAGTTGTTAGAGCTCAGACTTGGAAGCATTTTCAGGTTATTGTTGTAGTAGAAACATTGTGCGGAGGAAAAATTACTGCCTGGAGAACTGCTTAAAATACTATGGGGGAAGTATAGTCTGTAGAGTTGGTGTAATGATTCAGTATTTTTTCTCAGCAGTATTTATATAACTTTGGTTTTGCATTTGCTCCACTCTGGGTTCCTAATCTCTACATGAATGCTTATTTCTTTTTCCCATTTAATGTGAAGTGCTATATTTTAGTTTCTGGAGTTATCCTTCAGTTTTTATGTGGTCATTTCTAAAGTGTAGAAATTTCTAAAGTATTGTTTTCATAAGCAAATAATAACCTTTATTTGTTAGATACTCTTAAATTTGAAATTTGAAAATTTCCACATATAATGGGCTCAGGTTCTTTATTCTTTTGGGAATAGCAGATTGTGCAGATAGTCTGAAATTGTTGGTTTTAGTCTATGTAAAAAATACCATTTTGGATGCCTTTAAAAAAAAGTCATGCTAAGGCTGTGTATGCTTATAATAATACGCTTATTAAAATGAATCAAAAAGTATGAGTGACCACTATACATGAGGCACTATTCTGGACCTTAGGGGATACAGCAGAGAACAAAACAGAGCCCTGCCCACATGGAACTTAGTTTTTTTTTTTAAGAGCTCTAAGATTTTATTTATTTATTTTAATGTTTATATTTTTTTGAGAAAGAGAGAGAGAGAATGGAGGAGAGGCAGAGAGAGGAAGAGAGAGAATCCCAAGCAGGCTCTGCGCTGTCAGCGCAGAGCCCAATGCGGGGCTTGTGAACTCACGAACTGTGAGATCATGACCTGGGCTGAGATCAAGAGTCAGACACTTAGCTGACTGAGCCACCCAGGCGCCCCTGGAACTTAGATTTTGATTGAGAGAGAAAAACATTAAATACAGTAAGATGAATTAGGTGGTAAGTGTTCTGGAGACAAAATAAGAGTTAAGGGGGTGGACAGTGATAGTTTGGAGGTAGAAGAGTGCCCTGAGGCTTTGTAATTTTGTATAATTATTCAGAAGAGTTATCTGATAAGGTGACATATGAGCCAAGATCTATAGGAATAAAATGTGGGAGCAAGAAGTGTAGATATCTGGGAGAAGCATATTCTAGGTAGAAAGAACAGCAGGTCCTGAGCACCTGTGGTAAGAGTATTTGGCCTTTGGGAGGCACTGCAAAGGAGACGTCAGTGTAACTGAAGCAAAGTGATACAGAGGAGAGAGCTGGTCACAGAGGGATTACATAGCACTGGTAAAATGTATAAATTCTAATATATGTAAAATCTTCTAGTTGTTGAAACTAAAATCTACTTTTTGCTTCATTTAAGATCAGACTCTAAAAAAAAAAAAAAAAAAGTTTATTTTGAGGGAGGGAGAGGGGCAGAGAGAGAGAGAGAATTCCCAAGCAGGCTTTGCAGTGTCATTGTGGTACCCAATATGGGGCTCAAATTCATGAATTGTGAGATCATGACCTGAGCTAAAGTCGGACACTCAACTGAATAAGTCACCCAGGCGCCCCAGATCAGGCTCTTTCTGACTAATGTAGCATTTTACTTACCTCTGTGATGAAGAGTATGGAAATGGCTAACAAAAATGTTTGGAGCCTCCTTTTAAGGTCTTTCAAACTAGTTAGAAGAAAATCATTTGTAAGTAGATATAGTATGAAATAATTCTGTAGTGTAGGATTATGTGTCAGCTTTAGTGACTGGTGAGTACTTTAGAATGTGAAAGGGAACACGACTCATTTCGAAGAATGAGTAAGAATGAAAAGATTCAGGTGTGAAACAGCAAGGTACATCAGAGAAAACTGGAGAGTGGTTCTGTTTTGGAAGCCAAAAGTCAAGAAGGGAGGATATTGACAAGGACAGAATGTGTGCTGTCCTGTATGTAGTAGGGACCTCACTGAGGTTAGGCAGTGACAGTGTTGTGTTGTAGATCATTCTTTGGTCAGTTTAGAGACTGTTTAGGGGTGTGAGGTGAGTGAGACCCCAAATCAGAAGTGAAGCAGCCAGTCAGTCCAACATTTCTCAGTGGGGACAATTTTGGGTGGAGCAATTTTATTTATTTAAAAAAAATTTTTTTAAGTAGGCTCTGTGCCCAACTTGGGGCCTGGGCTCATGACACTGAGATCAAGAGTCACGTGCTCTATCTATTGAGCCAGCCAGGTACCCCGATGGGTAGAGTAGTTTTAAATTATGAAGTGCTGATTGTGCATTGCAGGATGGTTAGTTTCCCACATCATTGATATTAAATGCCAGTAAAAACTCTGTGTGTTAATCCCCCTCCCCAGTTTCTGAATACTTTCAGGAGAGGTGGTACCTCCTGGTTAGGAAATAAATAGGACTTGAATTCTGGCTTTGGCAATGACATGTAATGGAGAGGAAGGAACAAGTACAATGGCTGGAGATTTAGGAGACTTAGTTATTGATGGGCTGTACGGAGTGTATATAAACACACAGGTAGGAGCACTTTTGGGGTAGTATTGTGACAAATTTTGTGACAAGTTCAGTTTTGAAAGCTAAAAAAGATTCTGAGGTGTATAAAATGATACCATCATGGGGAAGTAAACATGTTTAAGAATTGAATAGCTTATCAAGATAGTTTCTGGAAGGATATAGAAAAATATAGATATATCTGGGGTGCCTGGGTGGTTCAGTTGGTTAAGTGGCCAACTTTAGTTCAGATCATGATCTTACTGTTCGTGGGTTTGAGCCCCACATCGGGCTCTGTGCTGACAGCTCAGAGCCTGGAGCCTGCTTCAGATTCTGTGTCTCCCTCTCTCTGCCCCTCCCACTCATGTTCTGTCTCTCTCTCTCTCTCTCAAAAATAAAACATTAAAAAAGAAAAAATACAGATATATCAAGATAAATGGAGGAAAAAAATTAAGATAACTCCTTATAATTGGGTTCAGACCTTGATCAATGAGCTTCAAGTTCTAAAGGATTCAAAAGGACCAAGACAGATATATATGCCTTGCCCTCATTATTTTTTGAGAGGCAGAGAAAGCTTAACTTTGGGAATAAGGTGTATGTGATATATTTAGTGCTGTAGGACAGGTATGAAGTACTGTTCAAGAAGATTCAGAGAAGGCAGAGATCAAATTGTGTTTTTTTACTATCAGAAACTGAACCATACACACCAAATTGTGAAAGTACTATTTAATTTTTGTTGCAAGTATGAATTGTGAAAGCCTTGTGCCATTCTTCTGTTCCATGGGCGCTCTGTTTGACTGTTTTGTGCTTTGTTCTTTAAGCTTTGTTGGCTAGGGTGACTGCTTATCTAAAATTCATTTGTTATCAAATGTTACTTTGTATAATAATTGGACCTATAAGAAGAAATGTTTTTAAAAGATTGTAAGCAGATGGAATGGTCATAGTTACATAACTGTTTCTTGCTAGTGATCAAGGCCAAGTTAGGTCACTTGAATTTTTATTTAATCATTATGTGCTGAAGATTAAAAATGGACAAACTACTTATGAGTCATGAATAACTTTAGTTTCTTTCCCTTTACCACAGTTATAGCTGAGATATTTATACATTTTTTATATGTTACTTTACAAGTGAAACAACTCATTTCTTCCTTTCTATTCTCTAAATTGGATCGTATTTTATATTTTCTTCACTGAATTTGCCAATAATATCCCTTAAGTAGATTGGAGGTAAAACTCTGAGGTTATTAAGAGCTGCCTTCCCCCGCCACCCCCCCCCCCCCCGCCCCCAGTTTCGGGGCTGAAACAATTGTATATTAAACCATTTTATAGTTATGCTCTCCCACTTGAAATATAAAATTGGAACTTAGATTGTTTTAGCTGTTTTCAGAGTAATAGCAAATAGAGTTCTTGGATCATTTCTTCTTGGACATGTATGCAACAAGAAACTTCACTTCATTTCCAGTTTTGTTAGAGTTAGCTAGTTGATATCAGCTGATAACTGAGCTAATGGTAAAACTGAAGGGTGAGAAGAATGAAAATTTTATATAAACTGAGATCCTACCCACTCACAGACCACATATCTGCTCTATCTTCCTTATAGTACAAACACAGCATTCTAGGGAGAATATTAATAAAGGTCATTTGACCTTCAGTTTGTTCATGCTTCTATATGTCTGTTTGTTTGTTTGTGTTTTTTGAATGGTAGGGATGAATAATACTAACATTGTAGTTCTGAGGGTTTATGAGTAATAAGAGAACTGAAAGTTCTACAGGGCCTTAAAATAGTTCTTTTTGAGATCAATAAAATAGTTGAGGGTGAATTACTCTGAGGAAATTTGATTTACTTAATGGTATTGATCCTTTATATGATCCTAATCAATATCCTTCTAATCAATATTATTCTTCCTAATCCTTTGTAATTAATATTATCCTTCCTAATTCTTCTCAGGTGGATTATAGTGGTCTCAATTATTCTCCTAAGAGATTTTTAATATCTTCTCCAAACTATCTATTGTTGCTCCACTGTTAGATTTTTCCCCTGTTAGTGTGCACATCTGACATTAATAATAAATTAAAGCTGCAGAGTAAGTCTTTTTTTTTTTTTTTAATTGCAGACTTAATTCAGTGCACAAATGAGATGAATGTGAACATCCCACAGTTGGCAGACAGTTTATTTGAAAGAACTACTAATAGTAGTTGGGTCGTGGTCTTCAAATCTCTCATTACAACTCATCATTTGATGGTGTATGGAAATGAGGTAAGCCAAATTTTTGGTTAACAAGCATACTGGTGTGATGACTGATTATTCAGCTTGCTTCTCTCATGGAAACTTCAGGAATGACTTTAGCAACCAAATAATATAGGTAAAAAGGGCAAGGGGACTAGGCAGAAATAAAATTGTAGCTTCTACAATTTGAGGAAGGATAATGGGTCAAAGCCCAGAGCATTTTGAATAATGGGATCAAGAAATAGGGATTAATGTCTAGAGGTAGATTCTGTAAGCAGCACTAGGTTTTGCAGGCCTTGTGCATAGACTGTATGTTTGTCTATATCCGTTTGCTTTATTATGGCCAATCAGATTTCTCCCTGATTTTATATAGTTGTCTTTGGAACCACTTTGTCTAGTTCAAAGCTGTTGCATTGAGCACTAAGATGGCATTTGCTGAGAGGGACTGATTAAAGAGTGCCCTTTTTTATTTATAAATATAATTTATTGTCAGACTGGCTTCCATTCAACCCCCAGTGCTCATCCCAAGTGCCCTCCTTAGGTGCCCATCACCCATTTTCCCCTCTCCCCCATCCACCCTCAGTTTGTTCCTCTGTGTTTAAGAGTCTAAAGAGTGCCTTCTTAAGCAGAGAGGTGTCTGAAGCCTTCATTGAAGTCTTCATTGCCCTAAAGGGTAACAAAAAGATGCATAAGCTTTTGTATTTTAATGTTTGGAGAGAATCATCTTGTTTTCCATGATAGGCTAGTGGCTGATTATTTTATTGTGTTACAAGAATACTTGAATGCAACTAGATAAATCTATGCTTAGTGTGCACCTTAGAAAAATGCAGCCCACCAATTGTTGAGAGATGGGGAGAGACTTCAGGTGTTGGTATTATTAGACTTTTGAGCATAATGACTTTCTGACATCCATCACGTTACTCATTTGGGGCTTTCAGTGCTAAGGCTTTTCTGTCATCTTGGGAAGATACCAATAGAGAATCATTAAATTAGTTTAGAATTAAAGCCAGAGTTTACCTTCAACTTCATCATTGCAACAGATCTTACTATATGCACATTTTGGTGTTCTCTTCTGGTCCTTGTTTTTAATAGCTATAACCATAATTTAGATAAACTATTTAGCTTTTTTTTTTATTTTTTATTTTTTATTAAAATTTTTTTTTTCCAACGTTTTTATTTATTTTTGGGACAGAGAGAGACAGAGCATGAACAGGGGAGGGGCAGAGAGAGAGGGAAACACAGAATCAGAAACAGGCTCCAGGCTCTGAGCCATCAGCCCAGAGCCTGACGCGGGGCTCGAACTCACGGTCCGCGAGATCGTGACCTGGCTGAAGCCGGACGCTTAACCGACTGCGCCACCCAGGCGCCCCTATTTAGCTTTTTTATATCATGTCACACCATAAGCATTTCCATGTTCTGTGTTTTTTTTTTTTTTTTTTTTTTGTATTATCTTTAGTGACAATTTTTTTTTTTTTAATTTTTTTTTTCAACGTTTTTTATTTATTTTTGGGACAGAGAGAGACAGAGCATGAACGGGGGAGGGTCAGAGAGAGAGGGAGACACAGAATCGGAAACAGGCTCCAGGCTCCGAGCCATCAGCCCAGAGCCTGACGCGGGGCTCGAACTCACGGACCGCGAGATCGTGACCTGGCTGAAGTCGGACACTTAACCGACTGCGCCACCCAGGCGCCCCATCTTTAGTGACAATTTAATGGATCATATATTCCATAATTTTCTTAACTTTCCCTTTCCTAGAAATTTAGCTTTCTGATTATTCACTGTTACAGCAGCATCACATTGGATGACTTTATTTGTAGTGTTTAAGTTTTAAAAGTTATTCCCAGAAGTTACCTGAAATATGACGTCTCAGTCAAGAGACATGACTCAGTTTTCTGATTTATTGTAACCAGTGTATGGAGTCAATAGGAATGTTTATATATACTAACTTTAGCATAACTTGAAGCATTTTTTATCTTAACTACGATAACAGTTTTCTGCTTTTATTGGGATTGTGTTTACTTAAGATCATGATTATTTACTGTGAAGAATTTCAGGCTTATATAGCATTTTTCACCTTTTTTAAAGAAAATGTAGTTTATCCTTTAAAAAGAAAAAGCCACGAGTATAACCAATTAGAATGCCAGATAAAGAGGAAGACTATTAGTCATGGCTTTCCGGGACTATGAATAAGGTGATAATACTAGACACAAAACTTTGATAAAAGTAAGGAAACAGAAAGTTGACAGCCATTCCTTACAGTTGACTGATAAGAGGAGAAAAATAGTATTTCATTGTGGTTTTTAGATAAACTCATGTTTATTTCCCTTAAGCAGCTAAGACAAATTCGATACTCTTCTTATTGGCAGGTTTAGTAGTCTGTGAGAGAGTATGCATAGGATTTTACTCTGTTGTGATGAGAATACCATAGGGCAAGGAGGAGAGTGATCTGTCCTGCCCCTGCTAGGGAACATTTGTTGCAAATGATGGGGTTGCTATTGGCATCTGTAGGTAGAGAGGCCAGGAATGCTTTTAAACATTACAATGCACAGGATGGGTTTCCCACAACAATGAATTATCACAGCTTATGGAAATCATGGGGTCTAATACTGTCTTAGGATATTTTAACACCTTTTTGAAACCAGTTTTAGGATAAGTGATGAAACATCAGTATTTGATTTATAAATTGTTTTTCAAAATCCTGGCTTGGTAGTTTGGGGTGAACGCAGATGAAACAAGATTGAGTTAGAGGAGTGCTGGTGTATATCCTAATTGATAGTAACCCTCTGCATGTATTAAAAAAAAAAATGAAATCTTAAGGGGAAGTGAAATTGAAAGGAATTAGCTCTATTTTAGAGGTTGTATGTAAAGGGAAGTTAAGGTTGTGTTCTGTGGTAAGAACTTTGGAGAGAATTTTGACACTATTTTGAGAAGATGAACTTTTGCATACATGCTGACCCAAAAATTCAAGCCTAAGTTTATATCATGAGAAACTTTTGTATGTTTGCACATGGAGACCAAGTACCAAGATGTCCATGAAACATGGTTAATAATAGTGAAATTGGAAAGAACTGGATAAGAAATGGATACATAATGATATACTGGCCTTTGAAATGCTAGAATGTCATTTAAAATGAATTAACTGGTTCTACGTATATTAAATACTTTTTCTTGGGAAAAAGTTGTTAAAAAGCACTTTGGAAAAGAATATAGTATGATTTTTCTGTAAATTTAAAATAGAAAAAATTATGTACAGTTTATAGGATATATATATATATATATAGAAAAATTATTATAAATGTGTGGGAATGATACAAACCTACTTTAGAATATTATTGCCTTTGAAGAGGGAAGGAAATGAGATTGAAGGTGTGTGTCTTCAATAGAGTTTTTAATGTTTTGTTTCTCTAAGAAAATCTGAAGTAAATATGGCAGTGTGTTTAATCTGGACAGTGGGTAAGGGAGGATATCTGTAATACTGTTTTCTTGTATGATTATAATTTTGTTTTTAAAAAGGTCATAAAAATTTGGGTCACTAGATAGCTGTATAAAGTAAAGATTCCACTTGAGTGTGACTAGCTGTAGCCCTAATATGCTGCAGTAAAGCCAAAATTACTGGTTCTAGGTTAAAAGTTCCTACTTCCTTTTAGACGCTGATACTGAAGCCATGGGTATTAGGCTTTAATCAATTCCTGTATGCTAGTGAAAAATATGGATTATGTTTCTAGGTTTATTAACTAGTTAACCGGACTGAGGATGAGAAATTTAAGCTAGATAAGCTTAATGGAGTGTATTAAACACAACCACCGCCCACATTCTCAAATTAGACTTTGTTAGATGGCATTATCTTAATTTGACATAATTGTTTGTTTGTTTTCCAGCGTTTTATTCAGTATTTGGCTTCAAGAAACACATTGTTTAACTTAAGCAATTTTTTGGATAAAAGTGGATTGCAAGGTAAAGACAACTTACTCATTATAGAAAATCAACCCTGTATGATGATTACTGTAGAGTTGAACTCTGTCTTTTAGAACATGTGTTGTGGAGGAACTTCATATTTTAGTAAAAGGTGTAGGGAAGAAAAAACTGTGCTTTAATGTGAAGATTAAGATTGATTTCAGTGTTGGACACTTAGAACTCTAGGAAATAAAATAGGGTAGAGCTTTCAGAGCATGGACTCTGGAATTAAATTGCCTTGTTTCAGTACCATCTCTACCACTTACCAGCTGCATGAACTTGAGCAAGTTACTTCACCTCTCTGCATCTGTAAAGTCAGAAATAATGATAGCACCTACCCTGTAGGGTTGTCATGAGACTTAACCTAGTTAATAATTATAAAGTGCTTACAGTAGTGTCTGGCACACAGGAATCACCATCCATGTAAGTATGAGCTTTCATTGTTATTGTTACCATTTTATGCTTTATTCCAAGAAATTTAGTTGCGAATATCATACATTTTAGTAGCAAAAGTAAGTATGGTGTATTGTTCAGATTGCTCATTGATACTCAGACCTGTTATTTATTTTGCTTTTAATTCAGTAACTTGAGATTGCTGCATTGGTACTCCATGCACATTCTGTCTTACTGGGATCTGTCATACTTAGTTCCTGAACTAGGCCTTTAACATTGTACAATGCCAGCTCTAGGAATAACATCACAAAGAACATACTAACTGATTTGGGAATATTCAATAGTAGGGCTCAATCTGGGAAATGTTTTTGGAGAAGGGAGATTTTTCTGCTGGGCTTTGAAAGCTAGATGAGAACATGGGTTGGCTTAAGCAAAAGTACACATGAAAGAGCATGGGATATTTAAGATTTATAGAGCAAATCAATATGAATAGAATGTATGGATGATATATTGGAGAAAAGGTAGTGGCAGATAGCCCTCTAGAGCTGTTTGGGGCCAAAATCAGACACAGAAAATTTTGATAGAGTTGGGATTTTATAATGCAGTGAGAAACCATCATGTTTTTGAGTAGAGGGAGAAGGGGAGAAGGACTGTGTGAAAGTGCCATACCTAAGTACAAGTTTGATTACAGTGATAAAGTCTTGAAGACATTGAGACTGTTCTGGTCATTTTTTTGGTCATCTAGTAGAATGTTTTTGTCATCTAGTAGAAAGTTAATGACCTGAATTGTGGCTTTTGTGGAGGTAACATCAGTGGAATTTAGTGGCTAACATTGTTTGGGTTGGGAGCTGTCCGGTTCAATACTTCTTCACTTTTGGAAGATGAAAGTATTAATTAGAATGAATCAAATACCCTATCTTCCAGAGATTTGGGAAGGCCAGTAATCTGTATATAGAACTGTTATAAGATTGATTTTATTTTGACAAAGATGTAGTGCTCCAAGTAGTTAAAAAAAAATTAATTAAGCAGTGGAATCACTTTTTCAAATAAAACCTTAAATAGCAACCAGAAATATATAACAGATAAAACTGGAGCTGATCTGTTTTCCGGGATGTGGAAGAAACGCTACTTGCTTATCTTTTTATTTCTGTTTATTTCAACTTTAAGAGTCTGTGGAAAATAATTTGCAAACCACTACTCTAAAACAGAGTATATGCATATATGCAAATAGAGTTTTTGGTGTCTTATTAGCTACTGATTTTCCACTTAAGATGGAAATTAAGCATTTCTGGTAATATTTTAGGATTTTTATTCCTTTTATGTAGAGAACATTTTTTAGGCCTTTTGCTTGAAGCTCATTCTGAAGAGATTATAAAGATAAAACTGAAACAGTAATTAAAAGTATGTAATTCAGTGGTTTTGACAGTTTTATGAGCATACATGAGGGTGATAATGTTTTTTTCTATTTTGTTCATTTTTCTCCAGTGGCACTTAGTAGGGCTCAAGAAATAGGTGCTAAATAAATGAATTGGTAATGATGTTAAATTCAGTTATTTGACATTTTTGTTGTTATTGTTTTGGTATTGTCTTTTTAAAGTAGTAGAGATCATCAAATAAAGTGAAATTTGTTGGTGAAGATGAGCTAAAATAAGATGGACCTGGTTCGTAATTAGCAGCAAAAATTTGTAGACTTACCTAAGCCAGGCAGTAACTAAAATAAAAGTTATTTTAATAGCATTGATTAGGTTTTATGTTACTGAAGTTTTCAAATCTCATGATTATGATGAAAGAAAATCTTCAAGTTTTACTGAAAACATCATACAGTTCTTTCTTACTATGCCTTAAACTTAGGTATTGCCATTTCTCTCATCATACTATACAGTAATTTTTGTACTTTTTATAAGGTTGGCACACATAAGTTTGGGTTTTCCAAATAATATATAACTGAAGATTTCTTAAGTATGAAAATTATAAAATTGCTTACTGATTTGAAGAGAGGGGCTTATGGTTCCATAGGATGTTGAGTTTGAGTTATGAAGTTATCAAGAAGTATTTAAGAGAACATGGTTTTTCAATTCCTATAGGAATGTTGATCAGAAGTATAATAAAAATATTATTTTAGTGAAATTTTAAAGGGGACGGTTTTTCAAAGCCACCTATGACATACCTGACTTAAAACATGTGAAGTGTTAGAGTTTTTAATGTGATGCTATTCATTATTAGTCACTTAATTTACATCACTAGATTGAGTTGGGATAGCAAGATATTATGGCCTTTGGATGAAATGAGTTGGTTTTCTAAGCAAAGTGGGATTTTAATAATTTGTGGAAATATTTTCTATTTTTTTTCTTACAGGATATGACATGTCTACATTTATTAGGCGGTATAGTAGATATCTTAATGAAAAAGCAGTTTCATACAGACAAGTTGCATTTGATTTCACAAAAGTGAAAAGAGGGTGAGTTAAGCTTTCCCTTTTTTTGATATCTAATGGATTCAAATATTTTAAAATGTGAACCATAGAAATTAATAGATTATGAATTATGATTTCAGGCCAGTTTAAAATAAGAATTTTATTTTTTATTTGAAGTATATCATATGCTTTGTGCTAGGATTTTTAAAAGCTCTTTCAAATTTTGTAATAGCTTTATTGAGATACAATTCACAAAACATAAAATTCACCCTTTTAAAGTGTATAATTAAGTGGGTTTTCATATATTTACAAAGTTGTGTGCTGCATAAGTATCCCAGAATATTTTATCATTCCTATGAGAAACCTCATACCCATTAGCAATCACTTCCCATTTCCCCCTTTCTCCAGACCCTGACGACTACAAATCTACTTTCTGATTCTATGGATTTGCTTATTCTGGATATTTTAGATAAATGAAATCATATGTTATATGGCCTTTTGAGTTTGGCTTTTCTCATCTAGCAAAATATATTCAAGTTGTACCATCCTTGTTCTAATGTGGATCACTACCTGATATAGCCTGGTATACAGATTTTTCTCAGGATATATGAGAAGACCTTGGATAAAGCCACTAAAGACATTCTTAAGGGGCACTGGTAACCCTTGTAGGTCTGAGACTGCCCTAAGGGGAATCTGGCTTCTGCAGAAATATTTTTGTGAATGCCTTTCTGAATTTCCCTGCTTCCATCTAAACAATTAATGTTTTCTTTAAATTGTTCTTTTAAGGGGCCACCTCGGTGGCTCAGTTGGTTGAGTATGCAACTCCTGATTTCACTGGAGGTCATGATCCCAGGGGGGTCATTGGATTGAGCCCCATATCAGGCTCCATGCCAAGCACCTGTCCCCCACTTGCACATGCTCTCTCTCTAAAAGAATGAATGAATGAATGAATGAATGAATGAATGAGTAGGTCTCTTGAAATGTTAAATTACTAGACTGCAATGGAAAATTTAATACAAAAATAGAAGTAACCCCTTAGTTAATTTAAGCATTTTAAAAATTGAACCTAAATGTTCTGTGTCACTATTACAAATTAATCAGGAGGTGATTAGTTTGGAACTTACCAAAACTAAATTCCACAGATTGTGTTTCATATATTTAAATACTCTGTCATTTGTGAGATGATAATAGAGGAGTTCATCTTAGAAGTCTGGTTCTTAATTCCAGTATTCTGTCCAGTGAACCATTTTCCAGTTGGGCTTATATTAACACTTCAGTGTAAAGTGTGTTCAGTAAAGCTAATCTTTGAAGGACTAGTTTTGTGATTGAGGAGAGTTGTTGCATTTCCTTCTTCCTTTTTTTTTTTAAGTTTATTTTGAAAGAGAGAGCAGGGGAGGAGCAGAGAGAGGGGGAGAGAGAAAATCCCAAGCAGGCTCTGTGCTGTCAGCATGGAGCCCAGCATGGGGCTTGAACCCTTGAACTTTGAGATCACAACCTGAGCCAAATCAAGAGTGGGACACTTAGCCACCTGAGCCACTAGGTGCCCCTGCATTTCTGTATTTAACAGAGCTGAGAACACCCCTTGATAATGCACAATATATTTAATATTTGACTTAGAGGAAATTACTCTTAGAGGATAGGGAAAGTGAATCAAGGAGCCATAACTGAGTGAACCAAGAAGCACAAAATTGATATACACACACAGATACGTGTATGTGCGTATATGTGTGTGTGTGTGTATGTGTATATCCACACATATATATCATTGTATTAAAGAAAAAATATAGGACGTAGGATGTAAGTTGAGAATGTGGCAGCACTTAAAATTTATTATATCATGGCTAGAACCTCAGTGAACTGTTTGAGTTTTGGAGAGGAGTTTTGTAGTAAATAGTAAAGTTGTATTTATTAGGGTAATAATTTTTTATGTTTACAAAACTAATACACTTTAAAAACTGAGGCAGCATAGCAACCTATGTTGTAACTTGTAGGAAATTTGTAAGAAATGTTAACATTTTAGTATATGTAACCTGCTTTCTGTGTGTAAATAGAAACAAATATATGTAGGAAGACCCATAGAAAATCACACGACAATTGAATTACATTATTTGAAGACTGCTTTCCTTCTCTCTTGTGTATTTTAGATATTTTCAGTCTGTACTCAGATCTCATTCTTTTGGATGGCTATGGGATTCTCTTCTAGATGTACATTTGATTTACTCTCAGTTTTTATCTTATAAAAGCAGTACATCTTTCTGACCATCCTTTTATATATTTGTATATATATATTTTTAATTTATTTTGAGAGAAAGAATGCATGCATATGGTGGAGAGGCAGAGAGAGTGTGGGAGAGAGAGAATCCCAAGCAGGCTTCACACTGTCAGCATGGACCCCAGTGCGGGGCTTAAATGCACGAACTTTGAGATCATGACCTGAGCCAAAATCAAGAGTTGGATGCTGAACTGACTGAGCCACCCAGGCTCCCTAAAGGAAACCTTATTTCTGCTGTTAGATTTTACATAGTACTGCCACTTCCACAAGGTCAACATAGCATTACTCACATTTGTATCTTCAGGACTTTGCACAGTCTAAACTACTATATTAGGTGATTAACAGTTTTTGAAAAAAGAACTAATTCAGTTTGTAAATAGTTTATTAAATGGCTTTATGAAAAATGAATCCAATAAGTTGCCTATGGATTTATCTTTCCAGTTGATTGTTAAACATCAGTCCCTATATTTTCTTTTTGTTTAACATTCCATTTTTTCATAGTATTAAGTTGAATTATCTTGAAATCTAAATTGGTTTGGTTCAAAGTATCAAGATATTGTTATGTAAAAAGCAAAACACGGAATAATCCAGTTATTTTCTGTAAATAAGGACATGGATAGTCAGCCTTTAATCTATTGCTTTTATATTTGAGAAGCAAGTGTCTGAATTGAATTAAAATGTATTTAAGAAGTCATAAAACTCGTGTTCTTCATGGAATATGAATTGTCATGTATTTGGTGCAAATCATGTTGAAGCATTTGGGTTTGTGAATTGAGTTTTGAAGTCTGATAAAAGTATTTGGTAACTGTTAAGATTTATCTTAATTGAGAAATTTGAAGTTCTTTGGAAAGAAATGTTGTGGAGGCTAGTGACAGAGGGGAATCAAAATTGTCCCCATGGCTTCTGGTGTAAGTCACTGGGGAGATGGGCACCTTTCACTGGGAAGATTTTGGATTGGGGTAGGGTTGGGCATAATGGCAAAAAATTAAAGATTTAGTTTTGGAAATACCAGTTTTGTCATGCCTGTGATTTATACAAGGTGAGGTATCAAGTAGACAATTGGACATACTAACTTGGAACTTAAAAGTTTTGGTTTAGGAGTATAAGTACATTATTGGCATCTTGGTGGTTTCTGTCTTGAAAATAACAGATCACCTTGGGGGTAAGTACAGAATGAGAAGAGAGAGCCCAGGAACACTTGAGATATACAATATTTATTTTAGAGGATGAACAGAGGATGAGGAGCCAAGAAAAGAAACTGAAAAAGTGATAGTGAAGAAAATACTGTGAGAAGTCTAGTCAGATAAGGTTAGACAAGTACCCATTGGAGAAGCTACATAGAATTTCTACATGACCTAAACTAGAACTGTTTAACTGGAGTGGTAGGAGAGGGGCCGATATTGAGATGAACTGAATAATGAATGAAAAGTGAGCATGGAACTCTTTTTGAGAAGTGTATTTGACTTTGTGAGATAAACGGTAGGTGAATGGGCATATGGGTTTAGTGGAGTGTGTATGTTTAAAGAATGATGATAATAGAGACTTTGCCGGCATGTTCATGGGAATGGTCTAGTTTAAAAGAAGAGGTTAATGAGCTGCACTGTCCAATATGGTAGCTATTTGCCAATGTGGCTAGTTAAATTTAAATTGATTAAAGTGAAATAAAATACAAAATTCGTTTCTTCAATTGGATCAGCCATATTTTGGATACTCAATAGCTGCATGTGGCTAGTGGCTACCGTATTGAATGGTGCACATATTGAATATTTACACCATTGCAGATAGTTGGACAGTGCTGTGTTAGAGAAAAAGAAGACAACCAAAGGACTGTGACAGAGTGGGATCCAGAGGACCTCTGTGAATGGTATTTATATTTCATAGAAAGAGAGATTTCCTCCATTGAATTGGACCAGACCAGATAGATGTAGTTTTGTTGGCAAGTTGACTAGACCTCTTTTTGTCATCTTCTGTTTTTGAATGAAATATTTGGGAGTTATGAGCTGAGAGTTTGTGTGTGGGTGTGGGGAGGCAGGGAAGAAAGGGTGGGAGAATCAGATTTCAAAGTACTTGGAGGAATTTACTGAAGAAGGCTAAGAGGATTGCTGGCAGTGCCGAGTGCCCATTTGAGGTTGATGATAATGAAATTTAGAGTTTTACCAGTTTGCTCTGTTGTGTGGTTTTCTTTACCAGCACTTAGCTGCTTAGCCAGGATTATGAATTTACCAAGTGACTGCAAGGGAAGAAGAGAGGTATAAGAGAGTTGAGTGTATTTGGAAGGTAATTATCACAATAATGATCTGTGGAATTCTAAGCTAGATGAAGGAAGTAAAAATGTGAAGGATAGTGGTAGAAGTTGAAACATTCAAGTTTATGATGAAGTCAAATAGTTTTGCCTTGGTGGTACTTGACCAAGGCAGCTGGGAGGTTATTGTCATAGGATAAGATGTATAAATTTTATCTTTTTTCATATTGGTGGTGGGGTAGGGGTAATGTGGTTTCTGGGGACAGTGAGGTCATGATCTGACCATAGGAATAGGATCTTTAGTCAAGGAACTTTGAGATTAAAATTTTGCATTGGTTGTCCATGTAGATGTTGAAATCAACCAAGAAAAATTGAGCCAGTATTCAGGTCTTCTGTGGTAAAGAGGAAATGACCAACAGGTCAAAAATAACTTCAGCAAGGAGAAGAGGGAGACTAAAAGGAGACTGATCAAATTAGAGTGACGTGTATGAGAACGAAAAAATGGTTGTGAAGAGGAAGTGGTGTCCTTATGCCAAACTGCGCTAGCTGGTACCAACCAGTGGAGTATATAGTACTTGGAGGGGAAACAGGCATCCATGGGTTAACACTTCTTATTGGAGAGAATTGTTGGACTAAGGCTGATAATGGTTGCCTACCTAAGGCAGTCCAGTGTTTGTTCGTTAAACGTGATTTTGTCTTGCAAAGCACTATTGTTGATTTTCATAGCTTAATTGTTTTTCTGGTATCTGGGGTTATGATTGAAGGGGTAGTAGCTCAGAGTAGAGTGGCTATTTATAAGTAAGTAGGTCATTTGTAAATTAGGGAAAGCCTACACTTTTTTTTTTTAAATTTTTTTTTTTTCAACGTTTATTTATTTTTTGGGACAGAGAGAGACAGAGCATGAATGGGGGAGGGGCAGAGAGAGAGGGAGACACAGAATCAGAAACAGGCTCCAGACTCTGAGCCATCAGCCCAGAGCCTGACGTGGGGCTCGAACTCACGGACCGTGAGATCGTGACCTGGCTGAAGTCGGACGCTTAACCGACTGCGCCACCCAGGCGCCCCTCGCCTACACACTTTTAAGAAGTGATGGTTACTCTCACAAAGGGTTATTAACAGCACTCTTTTAGAGTCTATTACATCTGGATTTACATAATGACCCTGCCACCCAGTAGTTCTCTGACTTTAGACAGTCATATAATCTCACTGATCATAGAACTTGATCATCTACAAAATGGGAGAAGTCTATCTATATGATTTTTGTAAGGATTTGAAAAACATACATCAAGCCCTTAGTATGGAGCCTGATGGTCACTGTGTACTTTAGCCCCAGGTACCTCTTATCTAGTGTTTTTGGTACCACTGTTGTAAAATTCTTTATATTGGTACTGTTAATATTTCTTGTATCTATTTTTAGAAATATCTAAAGCAAAATTTATTTATTATTATTTTTTAAATTTTAAAAAATGTTTTATTTTATTTTTGAGAGAGAGAAAGAGAGTGGGCAGGGGAGGGGCAGAAAGAGAGGGAGACACAGAATCTGAAGCAGGTTCCATGCTCTGAGCTGTTAGCACAGAGCCCGAGACAGGGGCTAGAACCCACGAGCCGTGAGATCATGACCTGAGTCGAAGTCAGGTGATCAACCGACTGAGCTACACAGGCGCCCCAAAGCAATAATATTTAAAGAAATCTATATTGGGACTTTTAACAGAATACTTTATTAAAAAACATTCCTCTTAAGTATCACATATTTTAATGGCTGGATTAAAAATGATTTGGTAAAATTGGACTTTATTTTGTAATAAAACAATTTTAGTTATAATATTCTGACTTACAAGTCTTGCTGTTTGAGTCATGAATAAAATACCTTAAATAAAGCAGTGCTTACCAAGACTTGAGTTTAGTTGCTGGCTCATCATGTCCTGTTTAGTGATTTGAGGCAAATGATTTCTTTTTTTCCAATTAAAAAAATTGTAGAACTGCCCTTTACATATGAGTAGTGTGAGGATCAGATGGTTTCCTCATGTGAAAAATACGCAATAAACCTGACTCTAATGTATGCTTTTATGTCTCATATTTTTACACCTTTTTAATTTTTTTTTTTAAGCTCCTCGATGTTGGACATAACAGTGTTTCCTGTTTTTGTTTTTCCTGTATGTCTTTTGCTGGAGGTTTCAGGTTCAATAATGACTTAAAAACATGTGATGTTTCATAGCAACTTGTTCTTTCTTTAAATAGGGAACCAGATGAGAGCTTAAAATATAGATTTAATAACAAATTCAGTTTGTTCTTTTTTTTCTAAAATAGGGCTGATGGTGTGATGAGAACAATGAACACAGAAAAACTGCTTAAAACTGTACCAATTATTCAAAATCAGATGGATGCCCTTCTTGATTTTAATGTAAGTTGAATACACAAATGATTTTATAAAAATTTAAGATTTAAAAATATGTATTATTAGAATTGGTCAGAGTGTTTATTCTCAAGTTTCCATCGACTCTAGTTTTTTCATACTAATATCCTGTTTGGCTAAGAATTTTCTATAAATGTGGTCCCAAATCAGATTACTTGGTATTTATATGATTTTTAAAGATTTACTCTAATTTCTTTGGTAGTGTTTCTCTAGCTCTAGAATTATAGGGTATACCAAGCTAAAGAAAGTGAGGGAGAGATGAAGCGATTGATCTGAAAATGTATTTTGATAAAGGTTTTTAGATTTTAAAAATGTGTAAAGATTTTCTTTATGAATAAACCACTTAATATTTCACTTTTGTCTACATTGTAGAACTCAGAGTATGACAGTTAACAAATACAGTGAAGTTCAAATACACTTACAACAGCTTGTTATATATATAGTTGTTGTCAAAGAGCAATGTGTTCCTTGGAATTTTTGTTTTAATGATCATTTTTTAAACTAGGTTGCCAGCTTTGTCGTTTGTAATATGTTAACATGTAACTTGTTAACATATTATTAATATGTTAAGTGTTAGCATTTTCAAGTTTGTTCTTTTTGGAGGCATCTATCTTTAGATATTTTAGAGCTTGTAAGTGCAAGTTAGTGAATGAAACTGACAATTTCATGATGAAATAGATTTTTTTCTTTTATTTCTGCTATTAATTGGTAGTCTTTAACTTCCTGAGGGCAGGGACCAGGTCTGCTTTTTCTCTACTGTGTCTCCATTGTCAAGGCATATGTGGCACACAGAGTGTATGTTCAGGAAACATTCAATGAATGAATTCTGTAGATGCTTCCATCTAGGACAGATTGTATCAAACTATGGCCTGCTGCCTGTTTTTGTATGGCTTGAGAGCTAAGAATGATTTTTATATATTTTTTTTTATGGTTGGAACAATAAAAAATATTTTTGACAGGTGAAAATTACTTGGAATTTCAATTCAGTTTCTACAATAGTATTGTTAGACTACAGCAGGGCTCACTGGTATTGTCTATGGATGCTTTTTTGATGTAATAACCAGATTTGAGTTGTTGTGATGGAGACTATCAGGCCTGCAGAGTCTAAAGTACTCAGATTCAGGCCCTTTACAAAAAACAGTTGTGGATCCCTAGTGTGGAGGACGTAGGGGATTAATGTAACTATTATGCTTCATTTTGGTTTTTATTAGAGGATTCAACCATGAAACTTTTTTCACTTAGTATTTTGTGAATGCTTTATAAAATTATGTGTTTTCATGGTCTGTGTTGTCCTTCACTGTATGTAACAATCTTCCTATTGACAGAGATTTAGAGTTTTTCTGATTTTTTTCAATACAGAAAATGAGGGAAAAAAACATGAGGGATACACTAAATAATGTGTGTGTTAATGTGTGTATCTACATACTTATAAACCTGATTCCGTAAGTTTAATACCTAGAAAAAGAATTTGGTGGATCAAAGGACATAAACTTAAAAATTTTTTTTTATTTTTTATTTTTTAAAATTTACATCCAAATTAGTTAGCAGATAGTGCAACAATGATTTCAGGAGTAGATTCCTTAATGCCCCTTACCCATTTAGACCATCCCCCCTCCCACAACCCCTTCAGTAACCCTCAGTTTGTTCTCCATATTTATGAGTCTCTTCTGTTTTGTCCCCCTCCCTGTTTTTACATTATTTTTGTTTCCCTTCCCTTATGTTCATCTTTTTTTGTTTTCAAGTCCTCATATGAATGAAGGCAGATGATTTTTATCTTTCTCTGACTAATTTCACTTAGAATAATACCTTCCAGTTCCATCCAGGTAGTTGCAAATGGCAAGATTTCATTCTTTTTGATTGCCGAGTAATACTCCATTGTATATATACCACATCTTCTTTATCCATTCATCCATCGATGGACATTTGGGCTCTTTCCATACTTTGGCTATTGTCGATAGTGCTGCTGTAAACATGGGGGTGCACGTGTCCCTTCGAAACAGCACACCTGTATCCCGTGGATAAATGCCTAGTAGTGCAATTGCTGGGTCATAGGGGAGTTCTACTTTTAGTTTTTTGAGGAACCTCCATGCTGTTTTCCAGAGTGGCTGCACCAGCTTGTATTCCCATAAACATTAAAATTTTTAATAAATATTGCTAACTTACATTACAGAAGGCTTAAACCTAGTCACTTGTCAACAGGTACCTCTTTTTCTTCATCCTTGTTGGCATTGAATAATAGCTTGGTTTTGATTATTTTGGTATCTACCAATCTGGTGCTCAAGAAAGGATAGTTTAGTGATTTAATTGATTATTATATTTTAATTTACTTGATAATTGAAGGTCTTCTCACATGTTACTAACTGTATATTGTGAATTGTCTGTCATTTACTTTATTATTAGGATTCTCTACAGTGGAAGTCAACCTTGTTAGATATTTTGCATGTATTGACCAATGTGTTGTTTACCATTTAACTTTGTGCTTATGTTTTTCTATACCTAAAAATGAATTTTCATGTAGTAGTTATTTGTGTAATCTAAAAAAGAACTTAAAGTTCATTGGTTTATCTTCTTGATTTCACTTCTTGAGATAAAACTAAAGGTTTTCCTATATTCTTGATAGATAAATAGGTGCTGGCTTTTTGTTACAGCATATTTAGTAATAATACTATTGATTCTTTATGTGTAAGGTACTGTGCTAAGCTCCTTACGATCAGTGTATCATTTAATTCTCCCAGTTAACCATATGAAATAGAAATATCATAACCATTTTGAAGGTAAGTTTGTTTATAATAGTGGAAAAAGGTATATTTAAAAAAAAAATACATTTCTTCTACCTAGCTTAGCTTTGTGCCTTGGTGATTGTCTAGGAATTTCGAAAGGGGGGATTTTTTTCTTTATGACTTACTTCTGAATTACATTGAATGTTACAGAATTCTTGTTTGTGGCTTTTACATAAATCTGAGCTCTTAGACACATTTTTGCACTATTTGGATGTAACTCTGAAAGAAATAAAAGTATTTTTCTCTAATACACCTAAATATTTGAATTTACTGTATTTTAATTTGAAGGAAGTCACTGTCATTTAAAAGATTAAGATTAGTTCATCTTTTTTTCTAATTTTTCCCTAGGTTAATAGCAATGAACTTACAAATGGGGTAATAAATGCTGCCTTCATGCTTCTGTTCAAAGATGCCATTAGACTGTTTGCAGCATACAATGAAGGAATTATTAACCTGTTGGGTAAATATTGTTGTAGCTTAATACATTTTATTTTTTTTATCTTGTGTCATATGGATAAATATTGTTGTCTGAGTTGTTACTTAGAGCTGCCTAACCACTCCTTGGGCTATTCATTGATTGTAACAATTTATTTGGAGAAAAGATTTTTATTTCTAGTTACGCGTGCTAAGAGATTAAATACTTATTTTTACAACTAGAATGTTCAGCTGGATGAACTTGTTTTGTAGATATATCTTTATGTTTTTTTATGTCAGTTTTATTATTTTTAGAGATATAAAGATCCCTTTAAAATTAAGTTAAAGTTATTTTCTCTCCTAGAAGAATCTTACTTCCTCACAATTTACTTCTTCACAATTTTGTAATTATAAAATTGATAGATTTTTTCTAGGCCTAATTTTAAAATTGATAATTATTTTAAATGGATTAAAAATTTATTTTTTAGGATGCCTTTTACTTTTGAGGCATTTTAGGAATGTGTGTATTCCTAGTTATTTAATTTTGCCTAGAAATGATCTTTTTTTCCTGTGGGATTTGGATGGAGTAGATGAGTAACAGTCTGTAAAGAATGCCTTGGGGCGCCTCTGTGGCGCAGTAGGTTGAGCGTCCGACTTCAGCCAGGTCACGATCTCGCGGTCCGTGAGTTCGAGCCCCGCGTCAGGCTCTGGGCTGATGGCTCAGAGCCTGGAGCCTGTTTCCGATTCTGTGTCTCCCTCTCTCTCTGCCCCTCCCCCGTTCATGCTCTGTCTCTCTCTGTCCCCCCAAAAAATAAACGTTGAAAAAAAAAATTTAAAAAAAAAAAAAAAAAAAGAATGCCTAAGTATAGGTCTCAGATGTCCAGTGTGTTCACTCCAATGTGCTTGTTTTCCCTCCCCTCCTCACTTAAAAAAATTATTTAAATTTGCTGTTTATAGGCTTATTCACATACTTATTTAGGGATGCTTTACTCTGTGAAGATAGGGAAATTGGGATTATTTTTTTCACAAAAAAATGGAAGGTTTCTACATAATTTTGGGAGTCAGTCACCCTACAATTACTTATAAATTAAGCTCTTTATTGGTGTTCATATAATAAGTTTAAATAAGCTTTCCAGGTGACATTTGGACATGGTAAAGTTGCCATCTTTATTAATATGTTAATATATTATTAGTAAGAATATTTGGAAGAAGAATATTTGGAAGTAGTATATGTTAATACATTATTAGTAAGAAATTTGAAAGTAAGGGTATTTGGAATGGAAAAAAGTATAATGTGTTAATAAAAATTATAGAAATATTATAGAACAAACTAGTAATATGAGTGAAGTCAAATGATTTTTCTGTTTTTAATATAGCATCTCTGTTTTAATTCAATTTAAATATCTCAGCTAATTTAACACTGACATTTTTCCTGTAGGGTGAGTTTGTTCTCTGAGACACCTATATGATCTCTTTGGAGCTATTACTTGTTTTCACTTTTGAATTTTCTCTTTTGATGTGAATAAAAGTATTTTTACATTTACCTTTGGCAGAAAAATATTTTGATATGAAAAAGAACCAATGCAAAGAAGGTCTGGACATCTATAAGAAGTTCCTGACTAGGATGACAAGAATCTCAGAGTTTCTCAAAGTTGCAGAGGTAAACTGTCCTTAAGTTAACTAGGTCTCTTAACTTGCTTTTTTTGTCTTTAAGTATAGATTTTAGAGAAGTAAGTCATTATCCAAATGAAAGTCACATCTTAAATATAAATAAAGTATATATTCAGTCATATCCATATACTATATTGAATTCTTTGTTATGTTATGAATGTGATATGGTATTGACTAAGATACATCTTACATACTTAATTCAGTATTGAATATTGAAACGTAATCCATTTTTAAATTGTTTATTTCTCGCTAAAATAAGGAAGGTGGCACACAGTGGTGCAATAGAATTTTGTGTTTGGCATTAGCCATATATTTTAGCATATTTATCTTATTATATGGTAGAGAATTTTCAGTGTGAGTACAAGTCTTTTTCTTCCACTGAGATTTGCAGCTAGAATCACATGCTCCACAATGTTTCATTACCCCACAGAAGTGAATTTAGTGTATTTATTGTTTGTCATTGATTATGAACACCATGAATGTAGGTTGTAGAACAGTCTAATTTTATAAATCTGTTTAAATAATTTTCTGAAATGGTCATAGAAGGCACTATCTTGCTTGCACAGAGGCAACTCTCAAAGTGTTTTTGTTTTCCCTTCCTGTACCTTAGGATAATTCTGGAAGATGACTATCATTTATCAATTATATCAAAGTAGTTAATCTGGAACTTGCAAGTTGGTGATTTTAGCTCTATTACCATAGTGATATTTCATTCTCTAGCAGATGAAATAAAACAGCATCATAAGACCTTTTGAAAAAAAGAGCTTTATGTTAGCTATCTTATGAAATCTACTGAAGTTTATATTGGATTTAAAGTATCCCTCAAGGGGCTCCTGGGTGGCGCAGTCGGTTGAGCGTCCGACTTCAGCCAGGTCACGATCTCGCGGTCTGTGAGTTCGAGCCCCGCGTCAGGCTCTGGGCTGATGGCTCAGAGCCTGGAGCCTGTTTCCGATTCTGTGTCTCCCTCTCTCTCTGCCCCTCCCCCGTTCATGCTCTGTCTCTCTCTGTCCCAAAAATAAATAAATGTTGGAAAAAAAAAAAATTAAAGTATCCCTCAAGAGATCAATGTATTTTTTCCATTTCTTTAGGGTTAGTCATATACTAAAACAAGAAAAAGGTAGTGTTTACACTGTGTTTTCAGTAAATTCTTTAAATGTTTTAGTTTGCTGACTTTTCCCTTTGGCCTCTTATGTTCTTTGCGTTTGATAGTTACAGTTACTGACTTAAGTTTTAAGCCTTTATTTACCTTCAGTTATTCTGGTCTGAGATGAAATAGACCATTTACTCTGTGTGATCTGAGGAATAAAATATTCTTTCATGAGGCTGTCTTTGTCTTTGGGTTGCAATTCATTATGAGACCTTAGTCCTTTGAGTAAAGGTACAAGTAACCTTTTCAAATGTGTTTGGAGGGGACTCATGTATCAGTTAGTGATAAGCTATTAAGATCTTAGTATGGATTATTCTGTCAAATTTTCTGATACCATTCTGGGAGTTGCCCTCGAACTGTGGAAAGGAAGAGAGGATGATTAGAAAATGAAACGTAACCACAGGAAGGGAAAAAAGTTTTTTAATTTGGTCACAAGAAAAGTATGGATGGTTTTTATCATTTTTGCTGGAAATTGCCTAATGCCCGAACATTAAGAAAGTGTATTAGAATTGGTTTGTGTAGATAGTTATATCCTGGTTGGAAGATCACTTGGCAATTGTATAAAACCTGGCCTACTTGCATGAACATGGGTTTTAAAAACTGTTATCTGTGGTGATTGCCAGGAAAAGCATACTTTATGTAGAAAGACAAAGTCCTTATCCTCAGATTTGTTCCTTAACTTCTTTTTTATGCCCCAGGAAACTTGTTCATGGTCAGCTTTTCTCTTTCTTGCTGTAGTCTTTTTGTCATATGACACATAAAAGTGATGGATTTTTTTAGATTGTGACAAGGTAGCTTAAGTATTAGGTGTTCAGAAGATGTGGATACTCTTAATGGATTTCCAACTCTGGTTCTCTCCTTTACAACTTTTAGAACCATGTAAATAACATCTAAGCCCATGGAAATAGTGAATGATCCCTCTGGAGATTAAATAGTCTTCTGATTTTAAAGAAGTCAATCTAGAATATTGTTCGTGGTACTAGCCATAATGTCATTTTCTAAATTTTTATTTTTTATTACAATTTTGTTAAGTACAATGCTGCTTCTTTTTACAGCAAGTTGGAATTGACAGAGGTGATATACCAGACCTTTCACAGGTAAGTGTATGGTTATAATATCATTTCACTGTCTGCTATATGTATTGCTAGGTGTGAATGGTACAAAGATGAATAATATACAGTTACTACTGTCAAGGGATTGGTGTGATTTTTCTTGGCAGATTCGAACATATATTGCTGACTTCTAACATTATGATCTCCTCATTTCTTATGTTGGTGGAGCTAGCCATTACTATACCATTCCTTTAGTTTATTTCCTTTAATGTGTACAGTTCAAATGCCTTTTTTTTTTTTTTTTAACTTTTAAAAAATGTTTATTTTTGAGAGAGAGACAGAGCGGGAGAGGGGCAAAGAGAGGGGGAGACACAGAATCTGAAGCAGGCTCCAGGCTACAAGCTGTCAGCATAGAGCCAGACGCGGGGCTTGAACCACAAGCCATAACATCATGACCTGAGCCAAAGTTGGATGCTTAACTGACTGAGCCACCCAGGCACCCCATCAAATGCCCGGTTTTAATTAAGGATTCTGTAGCATAGTACTTAATATCTAGACTTTCAAGTCATATATACCAAAGACCCTTTGTTGGCTCCTGCTGTGTATCATACAAGTGATCTTGGGCCAGTTATTTAATTTTCACTGTCTCAGGTTGTTTATTTGTAAAATGAAGATAATACTAGTGTCTTTGGGAGTCTTAGCGGACATTTTGTTGGGATTGGGAAGTGGTATACATGTGTTCTCAGTTCAACATAGAAGTTAATATTATAATCTAATATTTTTGGCTTTAATTGGTTTTCTACTATATCTTTCTTATACTAAGGTTTTGCATGTAGAGGGAAAACACTGAATGAAGGAAATTGTTGAAGTCATAATTGGTAGAGAGATTTAGATGCCTACAATCCAGTAACTCTTTATCTCAAATCCTAAAGAATATTTGGGGCAAGTAAATGCTCCTGATGCATTTGTTTCACTTAAAGATAGGGAACAATTCCTTTTCAACTGACTGAAAAGGTTTCCTTTTGAAAGTAACTAGCTTTTCATATTAAGTTGAGATTTGATATATAGTCTTTAAAGGCCAGTCTTTCTTTTTAAAACAAAATTGAGTGAAGTATCCATTTCAGTGAAGCTTGATAACTAAACATTTGTGTTACCAGCATACCATTCAGTATTTAAATCATTTCTGTCACTGCAATTCTCGTGGCCCCTTCTGGTCCTTCCCAAGTCCCCAACACAAATTACTGATGTGATTTCTAATAGATAATTTTATTAGATCTTAAATGTGATATAAATGGAATCACGCAAGTATTTATTCTTATATCTGGCTTCTTTTGCTCCTCATAGTGTTTTGAGCTTTGTCCTTATTATTGAATGTATTGCTCATATTCATTCTTCTTTATTGCTGAATAGTATTCCATTGTGTGACTTTTACCACAATTTTGTTTGTCCATTTTCCAAATGATGGGCTTTTGGATTATTTGTAATTTTTTACTGTTGTAAATTAAGCTACTTAAAACATTCTTCAACAAATCTTTTCTTGTAGAGATAGGTTTTTATGTCCCTTGGATAATTAGGAATGGAATTGGGTAGTTAAGCTAGATGTATATTTAACTTCATTAAAAAAAAAATCAGATCATTTTTTAAGATGGATGAACTTTGACCAGCATCATATGAGAGTTCCAGTTGTTTCATATCTTCACTAACATATGATGTTGCTAATCTATTTAATGTTAGCCATTCTAGTGGTTAAGAAATTTTATCTCCTCGTGATTTTAATTTGCATTTTATTGATGCTGGTCTGTAGTTTCATTTATCAATAACTATTCAAAAATAATCTTTGCACACTTTGATTTACTCAAGTACTTACTAAAATACCAGAAACATTCCCAACGATATGTCTAGCTTTTAAGAGTATGTTTTTATTTAAAATTCAAATAAGTTAATATATTTAATGAAAGTACTTGCAAGAACTCTTTAATGTTTCGTGTTTACATAGTCTCAGTTTTTTTTTGATTAGGTTTATTAATACCCCTTACTAGGTCATGCTTATGTAATAAAAATAAGAGCATAATAAAAACAAAACTCCACTGTTAATTCATGAGGAATATACCTATTTATTTTTTTTCCTCTCATATGTTAGGTGATACTTAATTTATTTTGACCAATGGTCTCTTTATCCTGAAAATCTTAATATTTGTACAATTTTAGGCCCCCAGCAGTCTACTTGATGCTTTGGAACAACATTTAGCTTCCTTGGAAGGAAAGAAAATCAAAGATTCTACAGCTGCAAGCAGGTATATTACTGTTCCTAGGGCAAAGAGCAGGTTTTTATGTTTCTGAGAGAGTTGATGAATCTACCTTTTAAATGCCAAGGCATTTAACTTTGCCTTATCTTGATTTAATCATATATTAGAATGAACTTAATGATATCTACCTGGTAGGGCTGCTACCAAGGATTAGATGGGTTAATACATGTAAATTCTTGGAATAGTTCCTGATCTTCAGTAGAAGTCAGCATCTCTCTGTCTCTCTCTTTTTAAATGTTTATTTATTTATTTTGAGAGAGAGCAAGAGAGCATGCAAGGGAGGTGCAGAGAGAGGGAGACAGAATCCCAAGCAGACTCCACGTTGTCAGCGCAGACACAGGGCTCAATCTCAAAAGTCATGAGATCATGACCTGAGCTGAAACCAAGAGTCAGATTCTTAACTAATTGAGCCACCCAGTTGCCCCTTGATGTCAGCATCTCTTAAGATGATAACACAGAGTACTTGGTTTACAGCTGTATTCACAGTGTCAGTATTTCTCTTAAAAGTGATAATTCATTTATTCATGTGGTGTCTTGTACTTATAAGATGCCTGTCTACAAATTTGATTAACCCTCACTGTGGCCCAGTGAAGTGTGCGGTAGTAATTCTGGGACTCAAACCTAGGATATCTGATAGCAAATATCATTATCTTTCTCTGATGCCAATTTATGGGGTTGATATTTGACATATTTTAATCAGTCTGTTGGGCTTTGAGTGGATTTCCAAGACTAAAACCAGTTAACCTAGCAAACTGAAAATAGCACGGTTCATCTCATATTGACTTTGTAACATGAGTTTTATGTTGGGTAGTGTGACTTGAGTAATTCTCATGTTTCTTTATGAAGATTTCCTTTTAATGGCATGAAAAAAAATTCTGTAAAATGTAATGAGAACCTTTCTTTAGATTTTTTTGTTTCAGAACTTTATTTGTGGTGGCAGAATTTAATTTTTAAAGGAAAATGTTAATGGATTTTAGTACTTTTTCATTCTAAATTTGTTCTTTGAATTTTCTAGTAGGTTTTTAGAAGCATAAGCCAAATTACGTGGCACTTATATAAGAAATGAATAAAAAATATGGCCAGGTAGTTGAGGTACATTGATTTAACTTCATACTTTTGTTATCATAAAATTTGCTGGGTTTCTTGCATTTCTATCACAACTATATTACTCTTCCCTTGTCTTCTGAGTTGTATTTTATAAAAATTGATTTTACATAAATTATTAGTAGTTCTGCCACTTGTATGCTTAGAGTATAAATTAATGATGATTGGTGTGTGATAAAAGGAAAATGAGTGAAGGTCATGAGTAGTAGTTCTTCAGGTTAGAACTCTTCCTAGATGTGTTCATATTGCCTAGAATTGACATTCGGGAATATATGTTGTTGGGGTTTATGGTATGCTATAAGGGGAAGGAGGTGGCTTGCTATGGTGATGCATTGTGCGTGTGTACTATGTTTGGAAAGGAACTTCTAGCTTGGCAAGAGGGTAGCAGATAGAAAGGAGGTGCCAGATGGACTGACGAAATTGATCTGTCTTTGAAGGAACCTGTGGTCCTCCGGGAATGACATCTTTGGGTGGTATTATAATGGAAACCTCTCTAGACACACATTATTTATTACTGGTACTAATGTTTTAGTGTTCCTGTAGTTGTACTGCCAAAACCTACGCTGTAAATTAGTGGAGTAATTTCCTGCGAGAAATTCAATATATTTTACCCATCAGGGTTTTCCTGGGAGTATGTGAACTCTTTTCTAATTGCATTAGTTCCCTTCCTTGGGGCTTGGAAGAAGCAATGTCCCATACCTTTATTGTGAACTCTTTCCAAAGTCTAACAATTTAAAAAGCAGGGAATATTTGTATAAATTAGCTAATTGCTAATAATCCTGTGGGTCACTAGGTAGAATATTTTATCTGAAGTACTGATTTTTACTCCAAAAGGTAAATTCATAATTGTAATACCAATCCATGGCAGTGTTGCCAGACCATTTTATAACCAGGTTGCAGAAAGCCAAATTACCTTTGTCCAATTTCCTAGGGCAACAACACTTTCCAACGCAGTCTCTTCCCTGGCAAGCACTGGCCTGTCTCTAACCAAAGTGGATGAAAGGGAAAAGCAGGCAGCATTAGAGGAAGAACAGGCTCGTTTAAAAGCTTTAAAGGTAGGTGTTTGCATTCTCTTTATTTGGAAAAACAGGTACAGGTGTTCATAAAGGAATTGGAACCTCTAAATAGACTAACTTAATGATAGTTATCCAAATGGGGTGAAACTCAATAATCTGATTTTTCATCCTGACATTGACTGACTGATGAAACCAAGAACACCTTTCTGCTATCAGAACACAATTAGATAATGCTTTTTTTTCCAGTGGCCAGAAAACAAATCCGGGTTTTGGATTCCTTATGCTAGTTCCCTTTCTCAACAGGAACAGCGCCTAAAAGAACTTGCAAAGAAACCTCATACCTCTTTAACAACTGCAGCCTCTCCTGTGTCCACCTCTGCAGGGGGTATAATGACTGCACCAGCCATTGACATATTTTCTACCCCTAGTTCTTCTAACAGGTAGGTGGAGAAGGTAAAGATTACCTTTGAATACTTAGATCTAAAGGCTTCTAATAGAAAGAGCTTTTCAAATTTAATTTACAAGTTCACACAGTGGTGTTAATAAATGGTGATAATGGTATAATTAAATATAAAATGTTAAGAGTATATACCTTGCATATTTAGGAAATGGAAAATGGCTAAGTTACAAATTTATACTAATTGGAATGTAGTGGGTAATCTATGGGGCAGATGTTTCATTTATATATATGGATATGTACATATAGGGTTATGGTAATATATTTCACAGTATCCTTTCATTGGATATTAAATGTCTTTCATGTCTATTTATTGCCTTATGTTAAACTCCGTACTCTGGAACACCGTAAGAGTTTAGTTGTCAGATTTCTGTGGTATTGAGGCCTACCAGGCCAACATCAATAATCTTGTTGCAGTGTCAATAATTGAAGCTATTTAATAATGGAAATAATAATATTTCCAGGAAAATTCAAATAATTGGTTTATTTTAAATTTGTCCTATCTTTTACCTCAGAGTGGTTTAAAGTAGAAGTTTGGAAGTCAGATTCTGGTTTGAATCCTGGCTGTTATTTCTTAATTTTTTTTTTTTTTTTTAAACCTGTTTCCACATAAGGTATTGTATGGTATAGGTCAGTGGTTCTCATTCTTTAGTAAGCAGCAGAATCACCTGGAGAGATTCTAAAGCCACAGCTTTCTGAACCTCACCCCCAGAGTTTCTGATACAGTAGATATAAAGTGAGGCCCAAGATTTTCTGTTTCCAACAGATTGCCATGTGGCTAGCATAAGATTTAGCACAGTCTTATACTAAAGCACACAATCTTAAACAATATCTTTGATTTTGTTGTTGTTGCTGTTTATTTTATTATTAACTCATCTTTAGAAGGTCTTCCCTCCCACCTGAGACCTGTCATCATTCAATGTAACTTACTTAGTTGCTGCCTGTTCCCTAAAGTCTTAATAGATGTTTGTTGAATTTAGTGTTTTCCTTTCAACTTTATAATTATTGTTTTCTCATTTGTTTTGTTTGTTGTTTGGCATGCTGCCTTTTTAAATCCCCATTAAAATAACTTTGAACCCATGAAGCGTCCCCACTTGAGGACCTTAGAAAGAACTCTGTCTTAGGGGAAATAAATGGAAAAGAAGCTGAATGTTTAAGAATGAAAAAAATTATTAGATAAAGAACTAGTTTGGCTATTTTTTGCTTCACTTAATACACTCTTAGTTTTTACCTTTTTAATTCTAATTGAAGGCAGATCTTAACAGCCTATAACAGAATGCATATTGCCTTATTCTGTTTTTCTCCCCCAAAGCACTAAATGCATTTATATTTTTATTTATCTGTAAAACTGTTTTTTACATCGAAGAGACATTTTGTTTCTGAGTAAGTATAAGTTAAAAATGATGTATGTTGTTTTGTCCACAATGCTTCAATTCATGGAAACTCTGTGATCTTTTTTTTAATGTTTATTTTTGAGAGAGCACAAGTTGGGGAGGGGCAGAGAGCGAGGGAGACAGAGAATCCCAAGCAGGCTCTGTGCCATCAGTGCAGAGCCTGACCTGGGCTCAAACTCATAAACCATGAGATCGTGACCTGAGCCGAATTCAGGAGTTGGCTTCTTAACTGACTGAGCCACCCAGGCACTCCTCTGGTATCTTTTTTTAGTTGTTATTCCTTAATCACATAAAAGTCATACATATCATGTAAATAATGCCCCCTGTAGTTGTGTAATGGGGTGGCTCTGTTATAAGTTTATATCATATGCATGTATAATTTTTTCCTGTATTATTGATATGTTTGGATATTGAAGCAGGGCAAGTGAGATTAACAGGTAATTTGCTTTGTTAGAGGGATTAGTATTACAAATGTAATGGAAGTTCTTTGAAGATTAAAAGTAAGAAAACAAATTTCCTGGGGCGCCTGGGTGGCGCAGTCGGTTAAGCGTCCGACTTCAGCCAGGTCACGATCTCGCGGTCCGTGAGTTCGAGCCCCGCGTCAGGCTCTGGGCTGATGGCTCGGAGCCTGGAGCCTGTTTCCGATTCTGTGTCTCCCTCTCTCTCTGCCCCTCCCCCGTTCATGCTCTGTCTCTCTCTGTCCCAAAAATAAATAAAAACGTTGAAAAAAAAAATTAAAAAAAAAAAGAAAACAAATTTCCTTAAAAAAATTAAAATTGCCATAATGTTTCATATTTCAGAATCATGTTGTTTAGGTACATTTCCGTAAGGAAATCAGTATTTTCCCAGGAGAGTCACTGATACATTCCAAAAGGGGTATAGTATAATTATTTGAATCCTATATAAATTTAAGATATGGTACTTGAATATTTTTTCCAGACTTCCGTAGAAATATGCTACTATAAATATAGATATGCTGTTGTATATATTAAAGGTATGCAACTGTTACCTTGCTGAAACTGTTCCTCTTCTTGAGGTTTACATTACTGGGGCCTTTTCTTACTTTAATGTTTTTATTTACTGGGACAGGAGAAGAGAGTGGCCGATACAGCAAGGTTTACCTAATAAATAAATAATCTTTTCAAAATATTTTCTAGCACATCAAAGCTACCAAATGATCTGCTTGATTTACAACAGCCAACTTTTCACCCATCTGTACTTCCTATGCCATCTACTTCTCAGGTAGCAAGTACATGGGGAGGTAAGCATTAATGAATTCTACTTTATTTGTTATGTAAGCCTTTCCCATCTGCATTCTGTAGTGTTTCACTCATTTGTGTACTTTTTGGTTACATTTGATACGTGTGAACTTTAAAAATATTTAAAATGGCAGTGAGGTAATTTTGTTCCTTGAAGACATTCATGTATTTGTAAATGTAATTTTAGAATTTCTGTTCAATTAAATTATGAAATGAGGTTTTAATGAAGGTGAAAAGGAAGGACCCAATGTATATTGAAGTATGAAATCATTCTTTCAATGTTGAATATCTATTCCATAATCAGAAAATGCATAAGGGTTATTGTGCTTTTGGTATAGAAAATAAAATGACTAATGGGGGAAGAAAACTCATGCTGTGTAAATATATGATAGATTCTAATAAAACGCGTACAGTGTTACTACTCAATAAACTGTGTTCTGACTGGGAATGTTAGGACAAACTTTATGCTACTTGTATTTACAGCTTTTAATTTAGATCATTAAGATTTTGGTATTCAAAGAATTTTCCCCTAATAGCAATAGGAATGTTTGCTGCCCTGGAGTAGTTCTTTGATCTTAAGGTGACTGTATCATGATCATTGACCTGGCATCTTTGAAGGATTGAGCCTAGTCCCTGTCAGTTTTTAAGCAGGTTTGCTTAGACATATAATATGTTTTCAAGTGATTCCATTTGCTTGGTTTTGGTGCTTTTTTTGCATATATGTATTATTTTACAGACACTCAAAAATTATTTGGGACAGAAAGGGGAGATATTCTGAGAGGATGCTGTCTGCAGAATTATAGAGAATGGCAAGCTACCTTAAAATTTTCATTGCTCATGTAAAATCTGAATTGATCAGTTTACCTCTTATAGCAAGATAAATTAATTGTTGTGAGTTTTTATGTTAACATGAACTAGACTTTTCATCTATATTTTGATGATTGGAGTCTTAAAAACTTTTTTGTTTCATTATTTTTTATAGTTAATTCTTAAGGCTCTATTTAGTTTAATAGAACATAATCTCTGTGAAGGCAGGGCTTTTTAAATATTTTGTTCAGTGCTGTATTATCAATGCCTAGATGCTTTGATTTTTAATGTTTTTTGAATGAGTGGATGTTTTCTTTCTTTTCTGGACAGCTTATTTCTGGTTCAAGATATGGCAGGGAACAGGAATAGTGAAACACTAGAACACTAGATTTCTACACTAATTTTGTGAGCCATGGCTTGATTAAAAAACTAACTTAGAAGATTAGTTTAATTTAGCTAAATCTTACGATTAAGAAGTAATTTCTAAAAATGGTAAGCTAGTTTAAAGTCAATAAATACTTTAGAACTATTTATCTGAAAGTAATTCCTTAATATCCCAATGATAAGTCCTAATTTTAGGATTTTTAATCGGCAAAATTACATACGTATTTTCTGCTTACTGTGAATTGTTTTAGAAAAGTTTAATAGAATTGACATGGCCATTTAAACAATTTTAACTTGCTTCACCCTCCCCCGCTTTTATAAAAAACAATGTAGTTGTTTTTTCCGAAGTTAAGGCTGAACGTTGTTTTTCAAAATAGGTGAGAAGTTTTACAGTAGGCTTATTGAGAACTGATAGGACATTTCAAAGACACTGAACTGTGAAGTTGTTTTGTTTGGAGAGTTAATTCTAATAATGAAAAGTTAAAGTTTCTGCTTGGGATTATTGAACTCTTATATGAAGGTGGGTAGACGATTATTGTGGGAGAATAATTTCAAGTAATTTCAGCCTCTAAGAATTGTTTTATGTCCTGCCAGAAGAAATTATTTCATAGCAGTTTTTGAAAACAGTATGTTGGAATACATGTAGTCAAGTTTTAGTTTTCTGTTTTAGGTTATTTTACTCTTTGTATTATTTCCATCAAAATTTCCTTCATATTTTAACATTAGGCTTTCTGTGTACAAGTGAGACTGTTAAAAGTATTAAAAATACAAATCAAGTACAGTGGGAACAGAGGCTGTAGCAATTGACTGTTATTTTTCCAAAAGCTTATTACATGTGAGGAAAGGACAGTGATTTTTACTATGAGCCTCTCAATTTAAGAATTATATCTTGTCTTGACTTTCATATAAAGATACTTGGTTTCTGAGCTGGTGATAATTTTAGAGTTTTGATTTCTGCATAATTGGATAGCTGAAGAGTGTTTTAAGTGAAGACTTTCAATACTTTTTAATTCAGCGTATTTTTTATATCGAGGACATTCGGATTAAGATTTTTTACTGTATTTTTAAAATTAAAGTTAGACTAAGATAAATAAATCTTAAACTGTATATAAAATGTTTTGATCATAACAGTAGAGTGTTAAAGATTTTTTTTTTTGAAATTAACCATTTACCTAAACATTTGAAATAATGTGACATTTTACATCATGCTGCTTTTATACCATGTGGTAAAACAAAGATAGGATCTTATTCTATGTTTCTCTTGCTTTCATTTGCTAAAAATGGTTTTAAACAACAAATTTGGTATTTTTAAAACAGAATTGGTATTAACTTAGTTCTTATCCCAAGCACCACAGATAAGTTAGGAATGTAGAGTTAAAGGGAAGTACGGTTTGCATGTTTATATAAAAGGCATTTAAGATTCCACCTAAAAATGAACATGAGAGAACACAAGCTCTTCTGTTCCCCTCATTGCATTTATTAATGAGCCTTTGATTTTTCAAGAAATGGTTTGGAGTCTCAACAAGCACTTGGTGTTGAATACTAATAGGTGAGAATATTTAAGTTTATATCACCTTTAAAATTTAGTGTCACAGCATATCTAAAAATACACAATATTGTCAGTTCAATGCACTGATGTATATTTTAAGCAAGATTTCAAAGTTTAATTCAGGCAAAAAAGAATTATCCTTTCTGAAGTTTAATTTGCTTTACTCACAGCTGGCACAAAACACACAACACTATATGAAAAACTCATTTGTCTTTGTGTAAATGTAGGTATCCAGTATTTAGGACCTCAACACTATTTTGATCCTCAACTTTTTGGATTAGTTTTGAATGTTGTAACAAAATTAAACCATCAAATGAATAATGATAAAAACTATTCTTAAAAGTTTAGGGGATTTATAGTAGTTGCCAGTCTGGTAAATAAAGTTTAAGTTGGGATAGCTGAAACATTATTATTTTTTTTATCTTAATGAACTTGTTTTTATTATTAAAAAAAATTTTTTTTGATATTTATTTATTCTTGAGACAGAGACAGAGCATGAACAGGGGAGGGGCAGAGAGAGAGGGAGACACAGAATCTGACACAGGCTCCAGGCTCTCAGCTGTCAGCATAGAGCCCAACGTGAGGCTTGAACCCAAGAACTGTGAGATCATGACCTGAGCTGAAGTCGGACGCTTAACCGACTGAGCCACCCAGGCGCCCTTTTTTTATTATTGATAGTATAGTGTTCACTAACAGATTAACATCATCTAGATTACCTCGTGTTTTGTCAAGTAGATTAAGAACTGATTTTTTCTTATTGTCTGATTGACCTAAATACGGCATTCTTACATGGTTCTGTATATTCTTCTCTAGGATGTTTCATATAATAGAAGATGATTGATAATAAGTACTTAGGTAAAACTTAAGCATTCGTTAGAGTAGCAGATAAGTAACAACTTTTCCCAAACATGTCTTTTCTCATATACCAATAGATTGGTAATAGAAAAATGTGTTTTTTTGAAAGACTTCTCTCATAGCCAAAGGCATGGAAAACTAGAGAGATGTTTTGAGTCTAACAATGTATGATATACTTCAAAAACTCCATACCACTATTCAGTATTTTAAAATAGTACTTTCAGCAAATTGATCAGCTGTAAACATAATGCATCTCCTTTCTTACTCAGGAAGGAGTTAGATTGGTTATCATTACATTTTTATTTTGGTATAGAAAACCCATTTCTTGTATCTGTTTTCTACTTCTTAATTCTCAGTTACTTTTTTGGATTCTTCTATCCATTGTTCCATTTATTCAGGACTGGAGGGGTGGGAAAGATGTTAAACGTGATCATATGAGTTTGAACACTACATCAATGAATTTTGATACATTTGTAGGACTTTATTTTGGGGTGTGAATTGATGTTCTGTAAAAATGATTAATTCCTAGAAAATAATTATACAAAAAATACAAAAAAATAATACAAAAATTAAAGTTTCATAAAAAGATTCTGTATAAGCCACTGATCTCAATATTTTCTTGGTATTCTTTTTTAACCAGTTGTAGGATTTGAATTTATTGACTTTAGGGAAAGTATGCTTATAGTGAATGAGCTGGTCCTTAAGCCCTTTGCTGTCTTACTCTGTCAGTCTTAGGGTAAAATACAGTGCTTACTACATTGTTAAGTGAGGATCACAAACTAGACAAGGATAGGCAAGAACAGGCTGCTGGTTAAAAGTACAGGAAGTACAGGTTAAAAGTATTTCTGCTGCGTTTTATTTTTTCTCTCCTCGTTTACTTAAGGTAGGATGAGTAGCTTTCAATCATTAGAATGATGATTATCTTGAATGAGGTATAGGTAAAGTAATTATCTGATTCTAAAAATAACTTTACGGTAGGATTTGGTAATAATATATATTTTGTACTATTCTAATGGAACAATACTTTTGTTATTTTTCAGCAAATCATTTATTTATTTTTTTTTTAAGTTTATTTATTTTGAGAGAGAGTGCAGATGGGGGAGGTGTGGAGAGAGGGAGACAGTGAATCCCAAGGAGACTCTGCACTGTCAGTGCAGAGCTCCACGCAGGCCTCCATCCTAGAAACCGTGAGATCATGACCTGAGCCAAAATCAAGAGTCACACGTTTAACAACCGACTGAGCCACCCAGGCATCCCTTCAGCAAATCGTTTAAAGGCTTAATGATTTGGCTTTAGAATCCTTAACTGGACCTTCAGAGCAGTTCCCAGTTTACTAAATGGCCACCACTCATGCCTCTGTTCTTCATTTTTCTAAAATTCCTTTCCTTTTTCTAAATCATTAGACCTTTTCATCTGTATTTTTAAATTTCTTACCTCTGAACCTATACACGAGTTACCTCCACCTGTTAGAAATACCCCTTGACCCCTGATTCTCTTTGTTTTTGAAATTTTACTCAATACCACACACATATTGATTGTTTATGTCTGTTATTTGAGTAAACATAGCTATGCCATGAAAACCAATGCATTCCCACCTAGGGCAGGGAACATGGTCCAGGGTGGGTGGCTCTTTTATAGATGCATTTTGTTTCTTTCTCTTTTTTAACTATCTGACTATTTGCTTCCTGATGTTGGAAAGCAGATCTATCCTTAGTATGCTACCAATGTTAATTGGAAACATAAATGTTTTCTTCTGAGGATTCATTTTAAAATAATTAAATGTAGTTCTTCCATCTTGATGTTGATGATTAGGTATTTTGCACTGAGATTAATAAACAATAATATAGCTACTACTTTTCACTTTGCATCTTTTGACTAATTGCAATACTAATTAATTTACTTCCTTTCTTCATTTTGCTGTAATGCACTTGGACTGCACAGATCCTTTCTCTGCTACTGTAGATGCTGTTGATGATGCCATTCCAAGCTTAAATCCTTTCCTCACAAAAAGTAGTGGTGATGTTCACCTTCCCATTTCTTCAGATGTATCCACTTTTACTACTAGGACACCTACTCATGAAATGTTTGTTGGTAAAGTACAATTTAACCTTTCTTTCCAATTAATGTTTATACTGCCTAAGTATTTTTTACGTATTCATCAATTATTTTTAAGGCACTGCAATAATTTTGGATTTTAATATCAAATTTTAAAATAAAATAAATAGCATTAATGTAGTGAGATTTTTAAATTAACACTAGTATCCCTAATTTTATTTAATCCAAGTTTTTAGGAAAGAAAATTTCCTTTGAAGTTGTGCTTTTTTTAGTGTTTTGTTATCTATCATATTAGTGTGATGCTCAAGCTGTCTAACATCATTTGCCACATTTTATTAATTCGAAGAGTTGGTTATAGGGTAACATCTCTTAAAAGTTACCAACATGTTTATGCATGCTTCTGTTTTTCCCCCTCTGTGTTTGGGACAGAGGGTAGTTAATCACTCTTAGTAGCTAACTCTTTTTTTTTTTTTTTTTAATACTGTGAATAGTACTATTTTAGATTGTCTCAAATAAATACATACTATATGTCTCATTCTTTTGTGTTTTTTTAAGTTTATTTATTTAGAGAGCACATGGGCACACATGAGCGGGAGAGGGGCAGAGAGAGAGAGAGAGAGAGAGAGAGAGAGAATCACAAGACAGCTCCGCACTGTCATCGCCATACAGGGCCCCAGCTCACAAACCCTGATATCATGACCTGAGCTGAAATCTAGAGTCAGTTTAATCGAGTCAGCCACCCAGGCGCCCTGTCCCATTCTTAAGGGTTTACTTCATTGTTAGCTTGGAGATAAATGACAAGTAGAAAATAAAAAACAACTTGACTAAATTGCATTTAATTGTGGTATAAAAATCCATAAAATGGTAGAATTTCATTCTAGAGTTAATACAGGAAAATGTAAGTTTTTGAATATACACTAACCTGAAATTAATGTTTTTGAACCTCCAAAAAGATGATAAACGCTCCTTAAAAGTTGGTGAAATTGCTTTTATTCGATTCAGAGAAACAGCTTAAAGTGATGTAAATTTAAATCTTTGTTTAAAGCAGCATGCAGAAAGTTATCTGTGTACCCTAAAGAGATCATGTGGCCATATTCTGAACATTCTGTTCTATATAGCTAATGGGGCAGAAGGGAGGTGACGAGAAAACAATAGTTGGAGATTTGAGAGAGTTCCAAGGCAGGTGCCCTAGTTATATATAACTAGTCTTATAGCTCCAAATTATAATAATTAATTACAGTAATTCCTGTATGTCATTGTAATTCATTACAAATTAAATAAAAAGTGGTTGAAACGCAATTTCACATTCTGTTACTCTTCACAAAATTTTGAAATATAGTACCTTATTTGCCTGGTAATAAAGGGTTACTAGAGTTATCTTTTGAATCAGGTTTTCTAAGAAGTTTGTATTTTCTTTATGCTTACTGAATGTGAACTAGTATATATTTAGTAAATATGGTTTCTTGTGTCTTTTTAAGTCAGTTGTTTTAATTTGGGGTATGAAAGGTATCTTTGCTTTGGGGCTATCATTTCCATCGTTTAAGTCAGAGCAGTGCATATGTTTCAGGCTGTCAATCTTCTATTCACCGAAGAGGGGTAGAATGGAGGTCAGTAAACTTAAGTGCTAAAGGCCGTTGCTATTTCACATTGAAATAGAAGAGTAAAAATATATAAAAGGTATCCAAGGAAAGTCTGTAACAAAAGGAATATACTAGAAATGTCATTTTCCAAATGTTTCTTAAGTTGGAGCCCATGGGTTTGGGCAAGAGGAAGACCAGAAAGCACAGAAAATAAAGTTTGATGGCCATGTGTGCCAAGGTGAGTTGGTGCATTTGAAGATAAAATGATAGAATTGGTGGTTTAGGGCTTACAAAGACCTCCAGAGAATGTTTGGTCAAGTTTCAACTCTCATATTGGTAAGATAATTACTGTCATTTTCTGGATGGATCGCCTGAGTCCCCAGAAAAGTTAATACACTAAGACAACCCAGCTAGTAGGAGCAAAAGCTCAAAGCAGGAGACCTTTATAGCTTTGCTCTACATTGCCCTTTCCTTTATGGATGTGCGGACTAAAGTATCAAGTATAATTTAAAAAACAAACAAATCTGCCAAGATTTTTTCATAAGCAAAAAATAAGTACTTACCTTTTTGTAAAAGGTATTTTTTTCATAAGCAAAAAGAAAGTACTTACCTTTTTGTAAAAATGACTACAGAATGGCAAAATAAAAATCACACATGTGGTTTAGACTGTTAGGCATTAGTATAGAACAAGGATCAGCACACTTTTTCTTAAAGGGTCAGATTGTAAATATTTTCGGCTCACAAACCACATAGTCTCTGTTGTAGCTACCAGCTTTGGCTTTATAGCATGAAAGTAGCCATAGACAGTACATAAACATGTTGTTTGGTTGTGTTCCAATAAATTTTTATTTACAAAGACCTGCACCTATAGTTTGCTGATTAATGCCTATCCTAAGAAGAGGCTTTTTATTTTTTTTTTATTAAAAAAATTTTTTTTTCAACATTTATTTATTTTATTTTTGGGACAGAGAGAGACAGAGCATGAACGGGGGAGGGGCAGAGAGAGAGGGAGACACAGAATCAGAAACAGGCTCCAGGCTCTGAGCCATCAGCCCAGAGCCCGACGCAGGGCTCGAACTCCCGGACTGCGAGATCGTGACCTGGCTGAAGTTGGACGCTTAACCGACTGCGCCACCCAGGCGCCCCAAGAGGCTTTTTAATAAGAAGGCTTTTAATCCATATTAAAAGTTCCTGAGAAGTACGTTTGTATAATAAAAATTCTAAGTTTTCTTAGAGTATTAAGAGCATGAAAGGACCACCCAAAATATGTCATTCCCAGAGATATATTGTCTAATTAGCCACTAGCTACGTCATTTAAGCTCTATCTAATTAATTGAAATTAAATGTTAAAGTTAAAATTTTACTTCCTTAGCTGTATTAGCCACATTTCTGTTGTTCAGTGGCACATGTGACTGGTGGCTCCCATATTGGACAGAGCAGATTTATAAAACATTTCTGTTATTAGAAAGTTCTGTAGGATAGTACTGCTCTAGAACAGTGGTCAGTAAACTTTTTGTGTAAAGGGGCAGATAGTAAATAATTTCAGGCTTTACAAGATACGTAAAATCCCTGTTGTATATTCTTCTTTTGTTTTCTTTCATTTTTAAAAACAACCCTTTAAAAATGTAAAAACCATTTTTAGCTCACACAGCCATATAAAAATAGGCCACTGGCTGTAATTTGCCAGCTTCTTCTTTATAGGATTAAGAATGACCCAGAAAAACCACAGAATAGCTACCTAGACACCCTCTAACCCTTCCAGAGGAAGATATTAATCTGGTGATGTGATGCTCACTGTACTATCTACTCCTTATTAAAGCAATTATAAGTCCAGAAAAGTGGATTGTCCATGTCTGTGACCTTGTTCAGGCCTACTTACTCATCATTAAAAGAAGACAGCAGAAGACATGTTAATATTGACAAAAGCCAACTGCTTCTTATTTCTCTAAGGAAATGCAGTGTTGGTTATTTCAAAATTTTGTTGTGGATATATTTTAAATATAACACTCATAATGGAGACAGGCGCTTTTTTTTTTTTT